TCTCTCTCTCTCCCTCTCTCTCCATCTCTCTCTCATCTTCTCTCTCTCTTTCCCTCTCTCTCCACCTCTCTCTCCATCTCTCTCTTCTTTTTTCTAAAGGGTTAGGGGTGCAAGGGTCTTGTAACCTGACAGCTTTAAGACTTGCATGCTTCAAATGCCAGAGTTTCTGAGCCAACATTTTGATTTCTAAGCAAGAGCGTTGTTAAGTGAGTTTCACCACATTTTACAAGTTGGCCACGCCCACCCAGTCACATGACTGCCAAGACACTCCCACTCGGCCACATGGCTGGCAAGCCACTCCCACCCGGTCACATGGTCGGCAAGCCATTCTCACCCGGTCACATGGCCAGCAAGCCACTCCCACAAAGCAGGCCACACCTACAGAAGAGGTTCTAAAAAATTTTGAAACCCACCACTGCTTCTGAGGTCCCTTCCAACTGTGTTATTTTGTTAAATCTTACAAAATCTCACTTTTAAGGACTACAAAAGGACTTTATTGATCTCCATAAAACTCTGGCTGTTTGTTTTTTAATTTAGCTTTGGGGTGGTGATGGTGGTGGGGTTTTTACAAACAGTCTATAAGGAGATTTGGCTTCTACAAATGTTGTGTTCTTAATTCCCCACCCTGTCATTCTGCCAGCAAAATCTTGCCTCTTTCATCCTGTCGAGCACACTTTGTGCACATTAGCAGAATCGATGTGGTTTGGGTCTCCACACAGAGGTCAGACGTTGCGTCCCTCTGCTTTGGCGAGAGACGTGTGTTCCTGCCCGTTTCACCTTTCGGTTATAATCTCATCCCATGATATTTGCATCAACTTTTCTTCCTGTCCTGGCACTGGTTTCTGCTGTGAATTGGCACAGGGAAATAATTCTCTTTTGTCCTTCCCTTTGTCTACTAGAAATCTTCCCACTCTGTTATTCCGTGTGATGTAATCTCCCCCTTGGCACTGGCCAGATCTATGTGTCAGTTTCTGGAATGGTCGTTCGAATGCTTTCCTTGCAAACTTTTTAGGCACAACCTCAATCGATCAGTCAATCAGACTAGAGCTGGAAGCAGGGGTGGGATCCTGCCAGTTCTAAGCTCTTCTATAGAAGAGGTTCCACAAATCTACAGTGCCGTTTAGAACCGGTTCCAGCTCCCTCCACATCATCACGATGAAGAGCGAGAGGAGGAATTCTGGGAGTTAAAGTCCACGAGTCTTAAAGCTGTCAAGTTTGAACACTCCTGAGGGTTTTTTTTCTAAAGGGTTAGGGGTGCGAGGGTCTTGTAACTTGACAGCTTTAAGACTTGCACGCTTCAATGCCAGAGTTGCTGAGCCAACATTTTGGTTGGTAAGCAAGAGTGTTGTTAAGTGAGTTTCACCACATTTTACAAGTTGGCCACGCTCACCCAGTCACATGGCTGGCAAGCCACTCCCACCCAGTCACATGTTGGGCAAGCCACTCCCACCTGGTCACATGGCCAGCAAGNATTCTCTCTCTCTCTGACTCTTTCTTTGACTCTCTTCCTTTCTCTGTCTCTCTGTCTCTCTCCCTCTCTCTCTCAATCACTCCATCTCTCTCTCTCTCCATCTCTCTCCCTCTCTCTCCATCTCTCTCTCCATCTCTATCTTTTCTCTCTCTCTCTTTCTCTCTCTTTCTCACTTCATTCTCTCTCTCTCTCAGACTCTCTCAGTCTCTCTCTCTTCCTCTCTCTCTCTTTCTCTGTCTCTCTCCATCTGTCTCTCACCCCTCTCTCTCAATCCCTCCCTCTCTCTCTCCCCCCAATCACTCTCTCTCCCCACTCTCCATCTCTCTCTCTCTATGCCTCTCTCTTTCTCTCTCCCTCTCCCCATCTTTCTCTCTCTCTCTGTCTCTCTCTCTCTCCGTCTTTCTCTCTCTTTCTCTCTTCATTCTCTCTCTCTCTCAGACTCTCTCAGTCTCTCTCTTCCTCTCTCTCTCTTTCTCTGTCTCTCTCTCTCTCTCTCAATCCCTCCCTCTCTCCCCCCCATCATTCTCTCTCCCCACTCTCCATCTCTCTCTCTCTCCGCCTCTCTCTTTCTCTCTCCCTCTCCCTGTCTTTCTCTCTCTGTCTTTCTCTCTCTGTCTCTCTCTGTGTCTCTCTCTTTCTCTACGGTGTGTATAATAAGACGCACCGGAGTACAAAACGCACCTTAGTTTTTGGGGAGGAAAATAGGGGAAAAAATCTGCCCACCAGGTATTTATCTGGCTAGTGTCTTTAGTGCGGTCAGCTTGAGCATATAAATTTGCTGGTTTTAAGAGTGTGCACTCGTGCTTTTTATGCCCTGGTAGGGGATTAAAAAAAAACAGCTTCTAAAGCACAGCTGATCATCGGAAGGAGCAGCAATGGGAAAAGCAGGCAAAACACAAACGCCTCATTAGGGCTGGGAAAAAAGCTTCAAAAAAGCTGCATTCAGAGAATAAGACACACATGAATATTCAGCCTCTTTTAGGGGGGTGGGGGAATGCAACTTATACTCCGAAAAATACAGTAGCTCACAGGACCGTAATCACAGACAAAGCTGTCCATAGTAAAACAAAACATGAAAAGTTTTTTCTAAAATGTTGAAAATATNTGTTTCTCAACCTTGGTGACTTTAAGTCCTGTGGACTTCAACTCCCAGAATCCCCCAGCCAGCTGGCTGGGGGATTCTGGGAGTTGAAGTCCACATGACTTAAAGTCACCAAGGTTGAGAAACACTGCTTTAAGAGAAGGGTGTCAAACTCAATTTCATTCAGGGCCACAACAAGGTTGTGTGTTTACCTCAGTGGGCTGGGTTGACATAGCCAGGGTGGGCATGGCCAGCCCAACATCATTCCTGTCAGGTGTCAGGGGCACTTGTGGTGATCCAGGTGGAGCTGGGGCCTCCATTGTCTCCAGCAGAGGAAGGTGAGACCAGGGAGAGCTCTGTTTTTGGGCTCCGTTTTCGACTGTGATGGCTTCCTGCAGCCATCAGCCAGCGAAAACGGAGTTCCCGAGCTCTGTTTTTGCTGGCAGAGGTACCGCGGGCCAGTCCTTTGTTGTTTCTAGGGTGGGCCTGTGGGCCACATCTAAGCACCCCATGGGCTGGATCTGGTGCATGGGCCTTGAGTTTGGCACCCCTGCTTTAAGGCATTGTCACACTTTCTCTTAAAAGTTAGCTCTCAAGCCGAAGAAAAGACCGGCTAATCTAAACTTCCTTCTCTTCTGGGGCTATAATGAACCAGTTGCTAAACAAGGATCACTTGTTCTTTACAGCAATGCATATAGGTTTATCTCTCTATATAATTTGCATGAAGTTATTGAACCTGGAATCAATCAACCTGGAACATAGCCATCTGAACAATAGTTGGGAAATTTCTTCAGGAAATGACATTGATCCAGAACTATTTGTTAGTAGTACCACTAAGGCTGGCCAGGGAGTACTTCTATAGTTCTTTGGTTCATACTTGTGTGGCAAAATATTTTCGTATTCTAATCTAGAGAGAGAAAAATAGTCTGTTTTTGGAGGATAGAAAAGATATTTTCAGTTCTGTTTGTTGCTTTTGAAATGTTATGATGTCAATAAATCTGTATACCCGTTTTTCTGTCTCCCGCCCCCAAGGAATGACCTTCCAAGACTGCAGAATTTGCTCTGATTTAAGGATCATCTGTCTCCCCTCATACATCCCAGGGCCAAGATGATGACCTTCTTCCTACAGACATTTCTTCTAGCTTGCTTCGTAGCTACTATACAGACCAAGATCTATGGTCGCTGTGAGTTGGCTCATGTGCTGAAGAAGAATGGGATGGATGGATATGAAGGTTACAGCCTAGCCAGTTGTGAGTGCAGTTCCTCACTGGGTAACATATTGCTCAAGTACTGAAAGTTGGACTAACGACCTACACTAAATATTCCTAATGTAGCTTTTATTAAGCAGCATTTCCTGTTTTTTTTTCTCGATAAGCAGGTACTGCTTTATTTGCTCTGGAACTTGCTCCAGCTTGTTTCTTATTAGATCTCTTCCCACAAGTTCACATGATTAATGCCTCTGTTTTCCTGGATCTGAACAGCAGTACTTGAAGCTAACGGGTACCCATTTCTGTTTTTTCTATTTTTTTTTACTTTTAAAAGTTTTTATTTTCCATTTTTTCATTTTCATACACTCACATATATACTGTGCATAGCCAGCGCCATACAACATTAAACAATAATCACAGCAATTCCTCTTGTCAACAATACCCCCACCAAATGCAAACCCAATATACCTCCTCCACTCTCCATACACCTCTTTTTTCCACCCCCTCCAACTTTCTATCTTCCAT